TCTTCGCTTCTTTATTTAGGAAAATTCAAAATGGCGGAAAAATTATTGGGGAACTGAAGCCCCCCCCCCCCCCCCCCCCCCCCCCTGCTCAGCGGTCCCTGCGCAGGACAATACAACGGCAATACAAAATGCGCAGTTTAGCCGAATACAACATTTCAATATAAATTGCTGCAATGCCGAAAGCCAATGGGACTGAACCACGCGGTCGGGTACCGCGCAAAAGTAGTGTCTTTAATGTTGTATTATAGCTGAATCCTTTTACACCATTTTAAAATAGCATCGTAAAATTTTCTGATAAAAGAAAAGTTGCACCATAAGTTGTACCTAAAATGTTCTTGTAAAACACTAGAATACCATCATTGAAGATTGGAAGACAAAATATATAAATACTACACAAAATTATATCTTAAAATACAAAGCATAGTTTCTAAAACACCTGCGCCTGCGTCCATCCATGCTGTTATCGGTTTTAACTTTCTTGTCAGTATCTTTCATCGCTTCTACAGCTGTACTTACCACAATTCAAACGCGTGTCCCTCAAAGATGGTCCAGCTTGATTGCTGATTCAATAATATTTGAAACTTGTCAGTTTTGCTCTTAGTGGCCACGCACAACTATACCCATGTCAGAAATTGTTTTGAATGAAAATTCTGCTAAGCCCAAGAAATAAAACAAAAAGCCTAAACTTTTTGCGCAACATGCCTGCTGTTCAGCTAAAGGGGGGAGGCAATGAGAATTATTGACAGCAGCTATTTTTTTACGTTGTGCAACACTCGTTCTTCGCGTATTTCTTGGCACGTGTTCTATAGTTTGCTCTGCATTAAACTATCAAGGGGGGGGCAAACGTCCTTTGTGTCACTCGCTTTGTGCACAGTTTGGAATAGAGCACAGGGGGGGGTTCGCGGTTTACACATATTTTCGAAGCAACACATTTTTTTAATGCGTTTAGGGGGGGGTTTTACAGCCGTTTTACAAAAAACTGTAAACAATTGTTAACATTCACTATGGGGGGGGTTAATAGTTATTTAATAATCAATATTAATCCATTTGTTAACGAAAATGTGGAACGTTCGAGTGTAATGTTGGAGTTTCAAAGGTCTTCAATTGTATTCCATTGCGATCCCGGCAAATCTTTGGCAACAGCTAGTATCTGCCTGTTGTTGCGCTGTTGACTTGAATACTAGTAATGTCTATCTGATATGAGAACTGCACTTTTCCTGTGGAAAACAATAACGACAATTTAACAGCTCGGCAAAAGCCGCAATATTACAGCGAGTACATCGGTATTTGGGCGCAAGATCCAGCACCCATCCCCTCCCCCATCAAATAATAAATCCACTGAATAATGATTATGGGGGGGGGGTACCGTTTGCTAATTCCCGAGCTGAGCTCTGATTAGCTCGCCGCTCCCTGGGGGGGGTGGTGACGTCATATATTAGCATAGATCTTCACCGAATAGACTACCCCAATTAGACATTAGATCCATAAGTGTCTTCATAGTACGATGGTCTAAGAGGGTAGCTAAAGGTATGCTCTAGTGGGCGGCTACCCCCTCACTCCCTGGCCTTTTGGTTAAGACTAAGTTTGGGGGGGGAATTGGATGGAGAGTTAACAACAATATTAATCGTCGATATGCAAATATTAGGGGGGGGACATAGAGGATATTACATGGGCGCGCGGAGATACGGGTTTTATCTTCGAATGTTGAAAAATCTTTCACGAGTGAGCGTATGAAAGCAAATTATGTCGTAAAATACCTTGGGGGGGGACTTTTCTTACTTACAACTTTACGAAACGGAGAAATATAGGTATTTCATAGGGGGGGGTATGAAACAATATTATTATTTAATTATGGACGCCATATAGATATTCATAATTTTATAAGAATGTTTGCAAAACGCTCTGACACGAAACCACCGAAAACTAGTAACATAGGGGGGGGTGTTTGAATAAAAACGAAAATCGTTCTAGTGTCAACTTGACACATAAAACATTTTAAAATATCTGAATACGTGTGCAAATACAGCCGTAGTAGTCTATTTTTATTTGCGGGGGGGGGAAAAACCCAAAGAAAGGCCGGAATTACTGTAATTTAGGGAAAATATAAAGGGGGGGGATCTCAAGCTTATGGTAGCGGGATTTTAATTCTTAGCTTAATGGTTATGAGGGGGGGGATTCTATATATCACTACTGATGATATTATGATACTAATAATGATATAGGTGGGGGGGGCTGATCTCGACTAGGATTCGAACCCTTATCCATAAATTCATCATCCAGATGGGGGGGGGCYGAATCTTCGCATGGATTTACTTTGAGAGGGAAAAGGGAGGGAAAAGTCGGTGCCCCAACACTTCTTTTTCCTTTGGTAGTTAGATAGATAGATGCCGTTTATTATGGGGGGGGACCTTGCAGCCAAGGACTGAATTACGTGGATACAATTTGTAAAAAGATAATAAAAAGATAGATATAAAACTATAAAAATTAATCAAGTTTTCAGTCAACTAAATCGTTGGGGGGGGTGACTAATGTAAATGACATTTCGAGTCTCTTTGTTCTGCAATGTGGGATGTCAAAGGATCTTATTCTCCTTAGTTTTCTAGAGTTGGATGCCTTCGGCGGTAGAAGTGAAGCACTGTTCTGATTTGTTGATTGCTTCCAAAAATACAGCTGTTTGGGACGTCTTTTGGGGGGGGCTACTGAGTCTGATACTCTGTTGTCTTTAAACACACCTGTTGTAGGTTGAGGGGGGGGCTTTTCTCTCTATATCAACTACTGTGTACGACACAATTCCTCAAATTTGAGGGGGGGGAGTTACTGTTCAAATCTCCAAGCCTTTAAATCACAGCAAAACACTCTGGTGGGGGGGGTTTAGTATTTTCAGACATGGCGATGAAAGCGCTCTGTGTTGCGTTTTTCCGGGGGGGGGTTATCAACTCAGCGTTTGGACACGGTTACATCAAAAATCCTGCTGCAAGAAACGCTTGTTGGCAGCATGGCTTTCGGGATTCCTGTGGTGAGGAATGGACGATGGATGAGAAGAACTGTGGCGGGTTTGCTGCTCAGTGGAGAAAAAATGGCGGTAAATGTGGTGGGGGGGGGGATCCCTACCACGACAAAATACAGAAGTACGTATATCCAGGCTCTCACGCATTTGGTACCATTACACAGACTTATCTTGAAGGACAAGAGATAGAACTCGAGGTAAGGGGGGGGGGCCTGATTATAAGGCAAATTACGTAAGGTATGCGTAACGTACTCGTTCACGGGGGGGGGTTTAGCTTCCAAGTTATTTGTTAGGGCCAGTACCTACTGTAATTCAAAATGGGGGGGGATCATAATTGTAAAATATTTTCCAAAGGTACAAATAAAGAGTTGTTGTTGGGGGGGGGACCAATGCGTAAGATATACCGAACGCTATGGATCATACACCTTGCGTTTGGGGGGGGGGAAACGTTCCATATCCATATTAGGAATAACCTTTGTATGCGTAGGTTTTCCCCTCCTTAATGAGCGGGAGTTTTATGTACAAAACAAATCCCAAAAATACTATCTAAGGGGGGGGGAACCTTTTATAACTTTATTAGCAATCTAAAAAAAGATGTCCATTCATGGTGGGGGGGGACACTTAGCGTGACGCTCGACTCCCGCCCAATTAAGGTCTTCGATGCACTGGGGGGGGGTGAGTTTTCAAACGTACAAGAAAAATCCCCAAAATAGTATCTAAGTAAGGGGGGGGGTTTATAACTTTTTATTAGCAACCTAAAAAAAAAGATGTCGATTCATACTATAACGTTCTATTTCGAGCACCTTTGATGGATTAAATGAGCGGGAGTTTTAGTCCGTTTGGGGGGGGCCCTCTCCCCTAGAGCCGCTACGCAGGCTAGCGTAACACGTTGTCTGCCCGTAACTGTACTGAGCATATACACTTTACGCATACTTTCAATTACGTAAAAGGTGTTGCGTATATCTCCATATAATTACACATATATAAGTATTTAGATAACTAAATAGAATAAATCGGGGGGGGAGGCACACAACTTGCAACTTGTTTTTCTACTCTTCAATGTACGTTTCGGGGGGGGGGGCTTCTTCAGTATTTAGATAACTATTAGTTAAAAATAAATGTTTTATTGACGGGGGGGGATAACCGTTACGCACAAAGGCTGGTCTGAGTTCAGAGTTGGAGACATCGGGGGGGGGGCCATCACACAAGACAAGCTGAGATACCTGCTCCGTCTGTCTGACACAGGAGGGGGGGGATGGTCACACAATATACATGTAAACGGCAAAAAGGGTATGTTGCGTCCCNTTATACTGACATCCATCAAAGACAATAAGAAGTTTTTGATAACACGTTAATTCTGGGACAGTGAAACGGTATTTCTACGGTGTTATGAAAATATTACCCTGTCCAAGACACACAAAAAAATTATATCGGTCTCTTTTATCTAAATTGTAGAGCCTGTTTAAGACAATTTTCGGGTGAAATGTATACCCTGTTTAAGACAGCAAGGCCAAAAACCATACCCTGGCCAGCGGCACGTCCCCGTATAGCAAATATATGGGAGTACCCCCCCCGGGTGCGTCTTACATACGCACTTGCGGGAACTAATGATAGAGAGCGTTTGGTTGCGGTCAGCGTAATTTCTTTCATTTCAGTTCATTGTCAATCCCCTCTCCTGATAAATATTTCGCAGTGCCTAATGATTAATGACAATATTTACAATCTTTAAGGTCTGTACAAGATAAAACTTCACCTACCGTCTGGTCTGACTTGCAAACACTGCGTGCTTCAGTGGTGGTGGAAGACTGGGAATAGCTGGGGATGTGAGATGGTAAACGGAAAGAAGAAATGTGGAATGGGATATGGAGCACAGGAGACRTTTGTTAACTGTGCTGATATACAGATTAACAGACGAGGCTAACAATCATGGCTTCTTATTTGAAACTGTTAAGATTCAATAAAAGCATAGTTTGACAGTTTATCAGTGAATTTGAGTGCTTTTGTTTAGACCAAAGATTAAGAATTAAAGATATGAAGGGGAGTGAATTAAAACAATTAGAGAAGATAAGAAAAATGGATAGAAGGGAAGGAATAGAAAAAGAAGTTCGAAAGAAATTGGAGGAACTAAGAGAAAGAAATATGTAGCACTTTCTAGGAGACGTTTTTGAAAGGTTGARGAGTTGAATCGATGTGTGCCTCGGATCTTGACTCAAGAATTATCCCATTTATTTTTCATTGCGTTATTTATTATATATTCGTTTCTTCTTTTTYCAAAACTTAAATTCAAAAGGCCCGCGTTTATTGGCCATTCCCAGGTCTCCGCACACCTGTGGATTCTGACATTCCACGAGGCCGACACAGAATCTAAATACAACTCGCAAAGGTCAAAAGGGACTTTTCCCTTCAAATGTATGCACGTTTTAACAGATCCAGTCACATGAGTTTCCCTGTAGAGCTRGGTGTTTATTGTGGAATTATACATTTATCGAAAAAAAGCTCTAAATCTCCGAAAGTTCATTGATTTGTGTTGGCATGTCGTTCGTAAACACATCGCGAATCACCCGCAGTGGTTAATATTCTTGTAAACATCTTCACACAAAGGAAGTCCTGAAGTTCTTTTACAGCTGACGATGTCGAATGGAGAAGCAAGGCACAAAATACAAAGTGTTTGTAGTAGTTTTATTATGTGCTACTCTCTGTCTTTTGGACGTGAAAGCTACGRAAGAATTTCCYACTGCTGGTAAGCAAAAYTAATGAACTTTCACATTATTTTCAACAATGAGCTACYMATATCAAATTCTTTGTATGCAGTCACAGCAGTTATTTTGCGTTATTTTGCATTTCTTCTTCGCGTAATGAAAGCATTTACAAGTATGAAGTCAATACTTTATCTTTATCAGAAAGTCAATGAACCCAACTGCCGCGGACAAAAAAACATTTTTTTAAAATGATGATGTCTAAACATTTCAATCCGGAATCGATAAGCTTAATTATTTTTCAATTCGCACTTCAAATTATCAAATAATTACAACGGTGTTAGATGTTTGAGCTATTGATATSTAGATTTGCGATTTCAGCACAAAAGATGTTTTGCAGTCACTTAAGCTTATACATTATATTGAGACACTTGCTAAATGATGCATTTAAACAATGAAAATTCTGTTTAAATTAATGTTCATTCAAAGATAATGGCAATCTAAAACAGTCACGCTATCGCTCTTGTTTTAAAAGTTTCATTCTAAACATATTACAAGAAATATTGTGTTGGAATCCCTATGAAATGGGACGTGCCTCCTTWAAATTTATTCTCAAATCAATCAAATCACTTACAATGAGATTATTTTGATAATAATGACAGAAGATCCATAAGATTTAAACAGTCGTTTATCAAAATCTTAACATAATGTATTAAATTACTTGCATAATAATGGCCATTATAAAATGTACCTAATCTAAATTCTAAGCTTAGTGAAAATATTTTTTGGTTATCTTTCATGGTTGGAGTGGTTTGTGGCATTTGAAACCAGGGACYAGTTGTACATGGATAAACTCATCCACTTATCACCAGAAGATATTGAAAATCTTCCAATAAAACATCCCAATTAAAATTATTAGATTACCAAAATAATGTGTAAGTTTTTTTTGGAATGTACCCAATATCTCATACTATATATCATAATATTGGACACCCTTAGTGCTGATGCAAATTATTATCTTATAGGTTATGATATTGTAATATCAAGTAGACAAAAGYATATCAATTCATCTGGTATCCTGTTTTCAAAAGTTGGTACAAGTTTAGTGTTAGATTGTTCAATTTCAAATAAGTCTGTACAAATTGAATGGAAGACATCAAAGGACATTCATGGCACTTCAATAAGATTACAAAACACTTCTGTGATTCAGTATAAAATTGACAAAGTGACATGGAATATGAATGGTTCTATACTCTGGTGCAGGCCCGCTATCAGTATGSATGGTATAGATGGAGTMAAAGCCACAGTGATTGTTGGAGGTAAATATAATATTTTTAGAAAAAACACAGGCAGGATGGATTCTGGGGGGAGGGGAGGGGATTCAACTCCAGCTGAGAGAACAGTAAATTTGAAATTGCTTCTCTGATTATTGCACAAATAATACAAAGTGAACTTGTTGAAATCTGCATTATTGTTTCTTATTACAGATATYCCCAGCCCTCCACGAGACTTCTCTTCCAGTATATATGATGTAAATTTATATATTGTCCGTCTATCCTGGAAACCAGCTTTATACACTGGTGGATTACCAGCGTACTATAAGATATCATATTATCAGTGTTATAACAAGACATATATACCTAGTCATCCTRAATATAATTTTTGCCGTACATCTCATATTAGTGGTCGTAAGGAKTATAGCTGTAGCATGAAACGAGATGACATGGTGAATTTACCAATTAAATCTGAACAGTTGTGCGAGATATTTCATGTTACTCTGGTGACAGTTAATAATATTGGTGTTAGTGATGCTGTTAATATGTCACTTTATTTGGGATATGGAGGAGAGACACCTTTTATGCGTAAGTATTTAATTACCATTTATTGCGTAAGCATTTACAGTTCAATCTTGAAGTCTATGACGAAATTGACTAACCAAACAATCAGATGCAACGACTGACAAAACCTAAACCTGCCAATCAATTCTAACATATTATATCAAATTTCCAACCATTACCAAGTAAAATATCTGCTATTAATCCAACCATCTAATTAAACTATCTGCCATTCAACCAACCATTTAACCAAACTTCCTGCCATTCAACCAATCATCTAACCATCCAACCAAACTATCTACTGGTATCTATCCAATTCAACTAACCAACCGACCAGATATAGCAAAAAAAATTTAATCAAAAAAATCAATGATACTAAATAAAGTTAAATTCAATCAACTTCCAGCAACTCCACTCCCACCATCCCATCTACAGGCTGAAGCACAAGGGARTTACATTACTGTAAGGTGGAAAACAAAGGAATATTACCAGGAATTAATAGATCCAACGTACATAATACTTTATCAT